GAAAATACCCACAAAAGATTATTTAAAGCTATTTTTGTGTTAAATTCGAAAGTATCAAGTAGACATTACAAATGGTAGCTTTAGAAATAAATATTTTATTTGATTCAACATAAAATTAATTACACATAAACATTTAGGCTACAACGTCCTAACATAAACTTTGGAACATAAAATAAGATAATTTGAGAAACATCTCAGTATTTTTTTGTTCATACAATGAAAGTCATTGGTAACTAAAACAGCTTTGTTACCAACAGTCTTCAAAATACCTTATTTTATGTTACACAAAAGAAAGGTTTGAAACGACATGAGGGTGAGTAAATGATGACAGAATTTGAATTGTTTTGGGTGAACTATCCCTTTAATGTTTTCTTCTTATTATTATTTTTATTTTTATTTTTTTATTAAATGATACTCTAAATAAGAAACTAAATCTGCCAGCAGGTGGCGGTAAATGTCTTTATGAGTCTTTCATTCGATTCGTTCAAACGGCTGATTCATTCAGGAATTCAGTAAACGGCTCTCTTTATGAATGGGACTTTGAATCATTTGATTCACATGATTCGTTCAAAACGCGGATTCATCCAGAAACTAAACACCGCTGTAGCCTATTGCTCGGAGATGCTCAACAATTCTGCTATGGTAATATGTTCTCTGCAAAATTGAGCAAAAGCACATAATATTGTGTTTAAAATATAACACAATATCAACTTCTTATTTACTGAACTGTTGTACAAAATCACATTAAAACTCGTGATATTCAGGACAAAAGCAGCACTCCTGTGATACTGCTGCTCTCGCTACTTGTGTGATATCGTATGATATAAATATGAGACAAAAAATCATACAGGGGCATTTTTTGCACCAATATTTTGAATTTTAGGGAATAACTGCATTTATGGATTTGTTGCCCTGCATCATATTTCTCAACAGTCAACTGTATAAAATGTAAGATGACGTACAGGTCTGGGGGCGGGGCCAGTGCGTTAACTGTGTAAAACTATTTTAATCACATTATTTTTTCATAACTAATTAATTAAGTTAACGCGTTAAACTGACAGCCCTAATATATATGTATATATTTTTTAAATTATTATTTACCTTTGTTTATTTTACATTTCTTATTTAAAATTGTATTAATATTATTTTATTATTTACATTTTTTTATTAATTTATTTTATTAATTGATTTATTATTCATTTTTGTCAGCTCTCAATCCTTTTTTTATGCATTCTGTGTTGGGATGCTATATCTTCGACAATAGCTTCCTACAATAGTGTTTATTGTTTATTTGTTTGTTTTCTAGATTATGATTTTGCAATCAAATTATGATATGAATTATTTTTCTAATTCAGATAGTATTTTTTTTTTACAAGCCAGTTTACAACCATGATGCTACTGTGTAGTGGGTGGTTGCTATGCAGTTTCTAGGGTGTTCTGAGTGGTTGCTAGGGCATTGATAGGGTGTTTTAGGTGGTTGCTAGGGCATTGCTGTTGTGCTCTAGTTTGTTTGCGAGGGTGTTCTGGGTTCTTTCTTACAAGTCCAAATGAAAAGAATCTCTGAAGATGTTTTGCTCTCTAAATGACTTTCACTTTCACTTATTTTTACATTGTTTGTAACAAACAGAAGCATCACACTGGTCATTTTTCACATCAGACATCATGCTAATGCTCACAGCAGCTGTCGGCTCTCTGTCTTCTCCTGACTTTGCAGTGTCATTGGATTTGGAAGATGGGGAGGGTGTGTGTGTGTGTGATTGACTCAATGAAAGTTTCAATAGGAGGGGTGCAGGAGAGGGTTATAGTTAAATGTCAGAGTCTAAGAGTGTGTGTTTGACAGCGGCTCATCCGGGCTAAGAGTGTTTGACCTTTCCCATGGTCATTTAACCAGGTGGCACTGAAAAGCACTACCCGGTCACATAAATGTGGCCTGCCACGTGACTCTCAAGTGCTTCGACTGGTGCCGTCCAACAGCTCTCACACAGACTGAAGTGACAGTATAATCCTGAAGAGCGGGCCATCTCTCGCTAAATAATGAGGCCTCAGATCTGGAGAAGAGACGGTTTACAGTTGCTTCACGATGCTCGTGTTACAGGTTGTGTTGAGTTTCATCAAACGGTTGAAAGCGGGACTGAACCGCGAACAGATTCACACGCTCATCAACTGTGGTGAACAAAAGCAAAGATTTACCACAATTAAGGTGTGGTGTTAAGCTGGATGCAAAGATATCAATATTGGAAAAATATTAATAATATTAGTATAATTAATATTGGTTTCATATATATATATATATATATATATATACACACACACACACACATATATATATATATTATTATATGCATTTTTGCTTCATCACTGAAAACATATTCGTCTCTCTTGTCAAAGTTTATTTGTCCAGTACTATTCGTTGCAACCATTATTCAGCTCCTCGTCTCTTGCTCTCTGTTCTATTCATGAAAGGAGGAGCGAGGGAGGGGGTCAGTTCTTCTAGTTGAAATTCTTTGCAGAGTCTCCATGGGAATAGTAAACTTTGGAGAGGGTTTGAAGAGAAAGGGGGAACAGGACAGAGAGAGTTATTGAAAAGATTCTCCCCACAAACTCTGAAGGCGGGAGGGATTGGAATGAGAGATGTTCATGTAAACCATGACCAGTGGACATGGACGTCCGTTTAATGAGAGAGAGGGATATGTGTTTGCACTTCTGTTTCATTTCTGAGCCGGTTTCTCTGTTGTATTCTCCACAAACAATTTTCTTAGGGTTGCATGGAAAACCTAGAAATGTCAGGGAATTTGAAGGCAAAGTCTGAAAAAGTTCAAAGTCTTGAAAAGTCATATAGCGAATATTAATTTATTAATTATATTAATTAATTTATAACTAAGTATTGTTGGCTCTAAAATATTTTATTAGCTTGAATTGCTTCTTGCTTGTGCAATCTGTAACATATATATATTTTTTTAATCAGATTTTTTTAGTTGATTTCACTTTCAAATATTTTATCAGTTTGAATTGTTTATTTATGTGAATCTCTGTAAAAAAAAACAATTAAATTGTGTAAAAATGTGTAATGAGTAGAAATAGTGTAAATAATGGAAATCATGGAAATTTCTATGGTCAATATTTATACTTTGCTCTAAAATATTTAATCAGTTTGAAATGCTGCTTGTGTGTAAATCACTGTAAAATTATTATTATTATTATTATTATTATTATTATTACACAACAGGATATCACGGAATTTTAAGACCTGGAAATGTCGTGGAAATTTTTTATGAAATTTGAAATTGTCTAGTTATACTTTGCTCTAAAATATTTAATCAGCTTCAATTCTTTCTTGTGTTTGAATTTCTATAAAAAAATTTTTTTATCATATAATCATGTGCAACAGGATATCAGGTAATTTTAAGACTTGGAAAAGTCGTCAATATTCATTTCTAATTCATTTCTTGTAATTACAGAAATCATGGAAATTAATTGGACAAAATGAGTGCACCAGTTTCCATCATTAAAAATGTATGTGCAAATTAAATCAAGCATTTAAATGAAGCATTTTGAAGTACCACAAAGAACTTATATTTTGTACCACAGACACTCTTTTTTTTTTGCCATTTGATGTCCAGTCTGACATCTGTGTCTTGAAGCAAACCCAGTTGTGAACTGCTGATCTTATGAAACATCAAGAAAAACAAAGAGGGCTGTTTGCTGAAGCTGAGGTGCTTCAAAGTGTTCACAGCCATCGCTTTCTCCTCTTTTATGTCAGCCCCTTTCTTTTGCTTCCATCCATATTCTCTTTCTTCTCTTTCTCTCCGTCCATCTCTCTCTCTGTTCCCCCTCCCCGCTCGGCCCCTCCATCTGCTGCCCTTCTCTGTTTCTCCAGAGCCTCACAATAGAGCCTCATGCTGGGTAATGGCTTAGAGTGTCTCATCCCTCTCTTTTGTGTGTGTGTGTTTTGTCTGCAGGTTGATGACGCGATGCTAATGTTTGACAAAACCACTAACAGGCACAGAGGTAAGGCAGCATTCAGGCACGCACACACGCAAATGCACACATTCGCATTCAAAGCCTCATTGAGTCATATAATTATACAACAGCAGTCAAGTGTCTACATGCTTCTGCACTCATTCAGGAGCTGATGTTAGAGCTCTTCTCTTCTCTTCTTGAACTTAAGGAATATTTTACTGCTCATTCATAACTCAAGAAATGTAATGGAGTTCTCATTTATACTTGAGCTTCTGTATCAACATCATCATCTCAGACATTTCTCCTAAAACTCTGAAAATGAAAATCCATATATGATAAAAGACTCTGTCTCTTCTCTGCTCCTCACAGTCTCATGTAATCTCTGTTCAGAGGCATTGCTAAAGTTCATATAGGGTAATATGGGTTTGGTGTTGCTGAGCTGGTTAGTGGTTCAGAGGTTAAACCGTCATTCACTTTGGCAAGGAAAGTCTGATTGACAGCCGGTGGGCAGAGCCTGTAGTGAGTGACAGATGAGTGGGCGGGATCGAGTAGCACAGGTAAATGCAGCAGGTGAGGAGCTAATCTCCTGACAGAATGGACTGAATATATGAACAGATGTAAACAGAACAAAAGACAGAGAATGAGAAAGGAAAGGTCATGCCAGGATTGGATCGGACACAACTGATAAACACACTAGATTCAATGTTTGAAAGCAACAGCATGTTTGTGATTGGTAAGGAGTGCATGTGTGTTCTTGCTCTGCAGGTTTTGGCTTTGTGACCTTTGAGAATGAAGACGTGGTGGAAAAGGTCTGCGAGATCCACTTTCACGAGATCAACAACAAGATGGTGAGAGTGTGTTCTGCTATGAAACGCTGTCTGTGTGTGTGACTGCGTGTTTGATAGGTTCATGATATGTGTTTCTCCTAAAATTCTTTGTAAAACAAAAATCCATATGTAACATAAAAGACTGGAAAATCCAAAATATGCATTAGCACATTTTATATATGGAATATTTAACGGTAAAATATATTTAAAATAGAAAAAAATAAAATAAAATAATATAATATATATATAGGAAATATATTAGCAAAAAATATGCATATATAATATATATAATAACTTCAATAACTTGCTGAGATATTAAAGAAATCTCCTTTGTCTTTACTTGAGGAATATTTTACTGCTCAAATGTTGCTCATTCAGAACTCCACAGACTTAATGGAGTTTCTTAGTTCTTAGACATTTAAGTATCAAGTTTGTCTCAAATGCGAAATTCTTTACAAAAAATAAAAATTGAAACAAAGGATCAAAAAATCTTTATATCTCATCTCATCTCTTTTCTTCTTGTACTTGAGGAATATTTCACTGCTCAAAAGTTGCTCATTTATATTTATTTTTTACTTATTCTTCAGTATCAACTTAGTCTCAAGAATTAAAAATAAAATAAAAGGTAATAAATATATTTTCTTACTAATGGAAAATAGGGTTATATTTCATTTAAATTTCACTGTCAGTTTTGTGCTTAAAAAGTTTGAAACAAGTCTCAATTGATGTCTAGCGATAACTAGAATAGAGATCTAATTTGTGATTTTGAAGGTGGAGTGCAAAAAGGCGCAGCCGAAGGAAGTGATGTCACCGACAGGTATGGCACGAGGCCGCTCCAGGGTGATGCCCTACGGCATGGACGCCTTCATGCTGGGTATCGGCATGCTGGGTGAGTTGAAAGCTGGAAAAGGCTAATAATCTCAGTGAACACTTCTATATGAGCAAACCCAGCATCAGTGCAGCGCTGCAGTCCCGTCTGATGAGAGTCTGTCGCTGCCTGCTGTTTACAACGGGGAACTGCACTCGTGTCTGCGTGTCTGTCAATGAGACACAAATCAGAGATGAGAACAGAAATACAGGGAAAAAAAATATTTAAAAAATGAGTAGAATTACTGTCATTCTGTGGGTGGGGTGAATTTACAAAATAAACATTGCAAAATACATCAAATACCCATATAACAGTTAAAACGGGTGTTTTTATTTTATTTATATTAACAATTAATAATTTAGCAGACACTAAGGCAAATGCAATAATTATCAATAATAATGGAATAAAATAAATAATATTGAAAATGATTAATTTATCATTGAAATTAATTTATTGATCTAATGCACCAGACATTAAGTGCCGAATATCTCATTTCCATTAGTAGTTGAGGAAGAAAAGAGAAGCTGTTTTCTTCTTATTTGTGTTTAATACATTTTAAATCAATTGTAAGCACATTTTATTTCTTGCTTTTTGTTTTTATTTCTTATACATCTGTTATGATTATTTTATGTTCTAAAGCATTTACTAATCTTAGTTAATGCTAATCTCAACATTTACTAATACATTATTAACATCAAAATATGTTAACATTAGTTAGTGCACTGTGAACTAACAATTTTATTAACTAACATTAACAAAGGTTAATAACTGCTGTAATTATTAGTTCATGTTAGTTAAAGCACTAACTAATGTTAACAAATGAGACCTTATTGCAAAGTGTCACCAAATAATCCTGAATTGCCTTAAACACTATGCTTTCTCTATTCATTTTCAGGTTACCCAGGGTTCCAGGCGGCCACTTACGCCAGTCGTGGCTACACAGGAATCACACCGGGATACACATACCAGTTCCCAGGTAAGTCCAACTTCCCTTGTTTCCATCTGTAGAGAATTTTCTCAGATCCAGTCATCCACTGCAATGTCAAAATGCATTATTTTATCCCTTACAAGAAAGGAACAGTTTTTACTCTTATCTGATAACTGCACATTTGTTGAAGTGGATTTGATCAAAACACACTCACAAAGACAGTAGTTTTTAAAAGCTGCGTGTGGATTTCACCGGTATAGTTGATGCTTTTTGCCATGCGACCCAACAAGACATTTCAGAGAAAATACATATTTTTCTCTGTTCTCAGCACTACTCAGACTGTAATTGTTTCTTAGGTGACATCACGTCAGTAAAAAAAAACATTTGCATGGTTCCTCTGTGATAAAACTCGAACAGGGCACAAGAGACGCTGTCAGACAAACCAGAAAGTAGGAATTACACTTGATCAGTAACATGACCTTCAAAATGGCATTGACAATAGTTGACCTGTCGCTGCCAATAGGCTAATTTGATTATGCTTTCAGCTACAACCTGTAAATGCTGAAAATATATTGTGTCCTATTTGTCCAAATAAGGCTACTGAAAATCTATGCTATATACTAACGATAACTAACGATATACTATATCATCAGTGCTTAAAGTGGAAAAAAAGTGCGGTACCCCCGCCCCCCGCAATATTTTTTATATTGTAAAAAATACATAATTAAATAAATTGTCATAATTACCAATGTATGTATATAATGCCGAAAGAAAGAAAACAGTTTAGAGCATTTTTAATATAAATAAGCACCAGTTAAGCTGTGATACCAAACAGGACCACAGGGAGACACCAAAAGACCACTAAACCTGCTGCCTTGACCAGACTGTACATGCTACTATACGGATCCATTCAGAATAACTAAACCACTGACCAGCGCATAATCTAAAACACCTTCAGCCGGCATTCATTATAAAACACCCAGACACTGACGCTTTGACTCAGTACTGGCAACATGTCAGAAGTGCCGGTATGCACGAAAAAGTGCCAGTAGTGCTTAAAGTGGAAAAAAAGTGCCGGTACCCCCGCCCCCCGCAATATTTTTTATATTGTAAAAAATACATAATTAAATAAATTGTCATAATTACCAATGTATGTATATAATGCCGAAAGAAAGAAAACAGTTTAGAGCATTTTTAATATAAATAAGCACCAGTTAAGCTGTGATACCAAACAGGACCACAGGGAGACACCAAAAGACCACTAAACCTGCTGCCTTGACCAGACTGTACATGCTACTATACGGATCCATTCAGAATAACTAAACCACTGACCAGCGCATAATCTAAAACACCTTCAGCCGGCATTCATTATAAAACACCCAGACACTGACGCTTTGACTCAGTACTGGCAACATGTCAGAAGTGCCGGTATGCACGAAAAAGTGCCAGTACGCTAAAGACTAAAATATTGAAGTGCCGGTACTGCATACCGGTGCGTACCGGCCCACTTCAAGCACAGTATATCATAATACACTTAAAGATGTCAAATTGATTTTAGATATATTTATGTATTATTTATATGTACTAGGGGTGTAATGGTTCATGTGTTCGTCCCCAACCATCACTGTACTGATGTCACGGTTCGGTTCATGCAGTCAGACGACAAATACAGAACTGGTTTTTAGTTTTATTTTGGCCGATCTCTATTCCAGGATTCAACACAAGCTGCATTGCAATCATTTCCCAAAATCTAATTTGTGTGGAATTTTTATGAAGTCTGTAAAGAGGAGAAAATACTGTACCAGGCAGATCAAGCTCACTGTTCGCGAAACTCGAAATATAATGACAAATATGTGGGGGTTTATATGAATGTATCTCTGAGAGGAACTGACCGTCTTCAAAAATATTGTCATTTTATATGTCATTTTTAGGGCTGCCACTAACGACTGTTTATTTCGATTAATCTATCGACTAATTTATCGATTAATCGATTAATCTAAACGATTAATTTCCAGCAAAAAAAATCTACAATTTTAAAGAACATTTTATTAAACTGGCAACTTTGCCATTCAGTAGTATACCATAAAAAAGTATAAATGTAAACAAGCCATTGACGAAATGTAAAACTAAAAGAGTAAAAATGTAAACAGATCTAATAAAAATGAAATAAAAAGAAAATAATCACAAAAGTCTGAGAAAGTCAGCATGTTCTTAATGTCAATATATCCACATGTTTTGGGCTTCTGTTCATTACAGCTGTGAGTGCAACTACAAAG